GGAGTGGCGGAGATATTGCAGTTTGGAAGTGCATATAAGCTGTGGTATTGGCGAGCCTCTGGCAAGACGGTGATGGAGTGAGGTTGGTGAAAATAATTCATCTCTTCGTTTCACCAGTACCTTGATGTAAGCGTGTTCCAGTAAAAAGTTTTTTTGAACAATTCAGAACTTTCTCACAAGTTGGAAATAAAAATTGTAGGACATTTCAGTCAGACTGAGAAATTAAAATCACATTTTATCTACATAAATATTTAACTTACCTCTTATTAAACTAAATACACTGCAGAGAAACTAGTTATAATATATATATATATAATATATATATATATATATATATATATATATATATATAAACACTGATCTCTGGCTGAAGGAGACTCGAACCTACGAACCTTGGAACAAGGTACGCAGTGCTATACCAATCTACCCACACTGACAATACCCTGGAGCCCAGCTTGCGCTAGACTTTGATTCAAGGCAGCCAGCTTTCAGAATGTAGCGCAAGCTGCACGCCAAGGTAATTGTCCAGTTATGTAGATTGGTATAGCACTGCGTACCTTGTTTCAAGGTTCGTAGTTCGAATCTCCTTCAGCCAGAGATCAGTGTTTGTGTATATTCGCCTGCTCTTGCGAATTCCGCATATAAATTATAATAATATATATAAAAATATATAATATATATATATAATTATTATAAATAAAAATATATTTTTTTTTTATTTTTTTTTTTATTATCACCCGGGCCGTTTTCCCACCAAAGGCAGGGTGGCCCGAAAAAGAAAAACTTTCCCCATCTTCACTCCCACTGCTGCCAAAAAAGGGGGCTTTTACACTACATTTTTTAAAAACCAATATTAACACCCCTCCTTCAGGTGCGGGGCACGTACTTCCCATCCCCCGGGACTCAACCGGCCTCCGGGTTTCCCTGAATCCTTCATAAATTTTCTTTGCTCACACTCCCCAAAAGCACGTCAAGTATTAAAAAAAACCCTTTTTCTCCATTCACCTCCTATCAAACACGCCACGCATGCCTGCTGGAAGTCCAAGCCCTTCGCACACAAAACCTCCTTACCCCCCCCCCCTCCAACCCTTCCTAGGCCACCCCTACCCCGCCTTCCTTTCCACTACAGACCGATACACTTTGAAGTCATTCTTTTTTGCTCCATTCTCTCTACATGTCCGAACCACCCAACAAACCCCTTTCCTAGCCCTCTGGACACATTTTGGGAATCCCCCACCCCCCCTAACTTCCAAACTACGAATTCTCTGCTTAAATTTTACAAACCCCACATTGCCCTCAGACATGACATCTCCACTGCCTCCCCGCCTTCCCCCCGCAACATTCATCACCCACGTTCACACCCATAAAGAGCGTTGGTAAAACATACTCTCATACATTCCCCTCTTTGCCCCCAAAACAAAGTTCTTTTCTCCACAACTCCAAGTGCCCATCACTCTTTTTCCCTCATCAATTCTAAAATTCACCTCATCTTTCTAGACCCATCCGCGACACTCCACTCCCCCAAAAATCTGAATACTTCACCCCCTCCATACCTCTCCCTCCAACTGATATTCAATCTTTCATCACCTAATCTTTTTTTATCCCATAACCTTACCTTTCCTTATTTACCTTAATTTTCTTCTTTTTTCACACCCTACCAAATTCATCCACCAATCTCTGCAACTTCCTTCAGAACTCCCCCAAAAGCACGTGTCATCACAAAAGCAGCTGTGACAACTCCCACTTTGTGTGTGATTTTTTTATCTTTTTAACTCCACGCCTCTTGCCAAGACCCTCGCATTTTCTTCTCTTACAACCCCATCTATAAATATATAAACAACCACGGTGACATCACACATCCTTGTCTAAGGCCTACTTTTACTGGGAAAAAATTTCCCTCTTTCCTACATACCTTAAATTGAGCCTCAATATCCTCGTAAAAACTCTTCACTGCTTTCAGTAACCTACCTCCTACACCATACACTTGCAACATCTGCCACATTGCCCCCCTATCCACCCTGTCATACGCCTTTTCCAAATCCATAAATGCCACAAAGACCTCTTTAAGCCTTATCTAAAAAAAATGTTCACTTAATTTTTTCACTGTAAACACCTGGTCCCACACCCCCTACCTTTCCTAAAGCCTCCTTGTTCATCTTTCTATCCTATCTCCGTCTTTTCTCTTAATTCTTTCAATTTTAACTCTACCATACACTTTACCAGGTACACTCAACAGACTTATCCCCCTATAATTTTTGCACTCTCTTTATCCCCTTTGCCTTTATACAAAGGAACTATGCATGCTCTCTGCCCCAAACCTAGGTACCTTACCCCTCTTCCATACATTTATTAAATAATTGCACCAACCACTCCAAAACTATACCCCACCTGCTTTTAAAACATTTCTATCTTTATCCCATCAATCCCGGGTGCCTTACCCCCTTTCATTTTAACCTACTGCCTCACAAACTTCCCCCACACTCACAACTGGCCCCTTCCTCACTCCTACAAGATGTTATTCCTCCTTGCCCTATACACGAAATCACGGGCTTCCCTATCTTCATCAACATTTAAAAATTCCTCAAATATTCCTTCCATCTTCCCAATACCTCTAACTCTCCATTTAAAAAACTCTCCTCTCCTATTTTTAACTGACAAATCCATTTGTTCTCTAGGCTTTCTTAACTTGTTAATCTCACTCCCCAAAACTTTTTCTTATTTTCCAACAAAATTTGTTGATAACATCTCACCCACTCTCTCATTTGCTCCTTTTTACATTGCTTCACACCACTCTCTTAACTTCCCCTCTTTTCCTCCATATACTCTTCCCTCCTTGCATCATTTTCTACTTTGAAAAAAACTTCTCATATCTAATTTTTTTCTCCCTTACTACTCTCTTTACATCATCATTCCACCCAAACGCTCCTCTTCCCTCCTGCACCCCACTTTCCGTAACCACAAAAATTCTGCTGAACCACTCTAACACTACATTTTTAAACCTACCCATACCTCTTCGACCCCATTTCCTATGCTCTCATTAGCCCAAACTATCCTCCAATAGCTGTTTATATTTCTTACCCTAACTGCCTTTCCTCTTTTAGTTTATAAACCTTCACCTCTCTCTTTTCCCCGATGCTTCTGTTCTCCTTGTATTCCATCTACCTTTTACTCTCAGTGTAGCTACAACTAGAAAGTGATCTGATATACGTGGCCCCTCTATAAACATGTAATCCTGAAGTCTACTCAACAGTCTTTATCTACCAATACATAATCCAACAAACTACTGTCATTTTTGCCCTACATTTATATCGTGTATACTTATTTTACCTCTTTTTCTTAAAATATGTAAACCTATAACTAAACCCCTTTCTATACAAAGTTCAATCAAAGGCTCCCATTATCATTTACAACCTGGCACCCCCAAACTTACCTACCACACCCCCTCAAAAGTTTCTCCACTTTAGCATTCAAGTCCCCTACCACAATTACTCTCCATTTGGGTTCAAAGGCTCCTATACATTCACTTAAAAACTCCCAAAATCTCCTCTCTCCTCTCATTCCTCTCTTCTCCGGGGCATACACGCTTATTATGCCCCCACTTCTCGCACCCAAACCTTTACTTTAACCCACAAATTCTTGAATTTACACATTCATTTTCTCTTTCTCCTTCCATAACTGATATTTTAACATTACGCACCCCTTCCTTTGCCTAACTCTCCCCAATACTCCGATTTAATCCCATTTTTTTCCCCCCCCACTGAAACTCTCCTACCCCCTTCAGCTTTGTTTCGCTTAGGGCCGGGACACCAACTTCTTTTCATTCAAACATCAGCAACATCTGTTTCTTGCATCCGCACTACATCCCCAAATTTTAAAAGCAACCCATTTTATAAAGTTTTTCTTCCTTTCTTTTTTTAGTAATTGAACAAGAAGGGGGTTTCTAGCCCAAAGCTCCCGGGATTTTTTGTCGCCTCATACGACACGCAAGGCTTACGGGGGAAAGGGTTCTTTTCCACTTTCCCCCGGACAATAGAAGAAATAAAAAAGAACAAAGCTATTTAGAAAAAGGAGAAAAACCTAGATGTAGATATATTAAAATGCATGTGCGTGCGTGAAGTGGACCAAAGTGTAATAGGAAGCAAAAATCCCTGTTATCTTTCGTGTTTATGAGACAGAAAAAAAAAACCACAACCTACCATCATGCAAAACATTACAGGTTTTTTTTTTCACAGTCATCTGGCAGGACGGTAGTACTTCCCTGGTGGTTGCTGCTACCAACCCACTCCCCATAAATATATAACCATATATATATAATAAATATATATATATATAATATATATAATATATAATATATAAACTTTAATGTTTTTTTGGTACCGATCCCCAAAAAAGATTTTATTTTCCCAAAATTATCTGCCAGTTCTTTAATCGTTACAGAGAGTTTTTAGAAAGTTGTACGACAAGTGGAAATAAGAAATGTAAAACTTTTTGGGAACTTCAATGATGCAAAGTTTTCACAATTTTTTCCCTTGCGGGCGAAACGTATCTTCTTAAATTTTCTTTAAGTTGCAGTTGTGGCTTTTTTACACAAGTTATCGAATCAGGCCTTACACAGAGCTCTGTAGATTCATACATCTTCCAGTACATTGTGGAAAGGTCTTGCCTTCAGAACAAACGTGTCTTAATCTGATCTTAAGTGTCGCATCACCTCCATGTGCATGGATCTTCTAGCATCATTCTTTATTTATTCTCGCTTGCAACTTGATACAAGAAAAAGATGAATAAGAAAAATTTACTAATTTTCATCTTCAGGTTGTCGGTTGTGAATTGCAAAATTCCATCTTTCTAGTTTGGTCATTGTTTTTGCCACAGCTCACGACAACGTGAAGGTGTTCATCACTCACTGTGGTCTCCTCAGCTTGCAAGAATCAATCTATCACGCCACGCCACTCCTCGCTCTACCTATCTACGGTGACCAGCCCAGAATGGCATGTTTTGTTAAGAATTCTGGTCTGGGAGACTCTTTTAGTGTGGGAAGAGCTGACTCTGGACATGATCGTTGACGCTCTTACAAAAATTACCAGCGATCCCAAGTAAGGCCATGTTGCAGCTTTGTTAATACAAAACGGTCTAATTTAATGTGCAACACTTATTAGTGTCATATCTTTAAGCAGAACATGCGGACTTTCTGTTTTCCAGAAGCAAACTCCATGACATTACTGTAGCTATGTATTTCAGTACAAATTATTTTAATTCAGACATTTGACAATAACCGCACATAAAGAAAAGCTTATGACGACATTTCTGTCCAACTTGGACCACTAAAATGTTACACTAACACATGAAGATGAGGGAGTCGGTATATGTAAGAGAGGAGGAAATGGGTGGGACAGAGAGAGAGCAAAAAAGAAGGAAGTGGAAAAGTAGTGGTAGAGAAAATGTTGATAGTGGAAGTAGTAGTGGTAGTAGAAGTAAGCTGGTGGAAGTAGTGGTAGTAGAAGTAAGCTGGTGGAAGTAGTGTAGTAGAAGTAAGCTGGTGGAGTAGTGGTATACAAGTAAGCAGGTGGAATTAGTGATAGTAGAAGTAAGCTGGTGGAAGTAGTGGTAGTGGCACAGGAGACAGAAAGGGAAGCGAAGCTTAGCAATGGTAGTAGTAGTAATAGTATCATTCGTTTTTTTCGGATTGTACATATAATTGGTTCACTTGATTATTCCAGTTGAAGAACAAAATGTATATTTATAAGCTAGACAATAGGTTAGCTAAGATTCGTCAGGAAACAGGACAAGTGTTTCCTGACGCGGGTCTTTTCATCCCTGTTAATAACTTGATCATAAGTAAATTATAAGAACTGGGAAAATAATGTACACACTGTGATAGTGATCGTTCATTTATTATTATTATTAATATTATTATTACTTATGCACAGGTACAAAGAAAATGTATTGAGGATGTCAGTTCCGCTGAGGGATCAACTTATACCGCCCAAGGAACTGGCAGTGTTCTGGACGGAGTACGTCATCCGTCACAGAGGTGCTCCTCAGCTGAGGTCACCAGCGGCACAGCTCTCCTGGGTGGAGTTCCTCATGCTGGACGTGATCTTCCTCCTCCACCTGACTGTCTTCATCACCTTCTTTATATTACGTCGAATACTGAGAGCCATCTGTGCTATACCTTTTGGTAGTGAAGAAAAGACGAAGAAGAAGAAGAAGAAAGACTAAGAATTAGTAAGATATGTTTGTTAAATGAGAAAATCTTCCGTAAATAGGCTTAAATTTGAAGTATTGTGGATTTGTATACTGAACATGACTCATGAAATCACAATAACAAGATTGAAAGCAAATCATGGAATGGGTGAGGTTTGAACTCATAGCAAGTAATACTTAAGACTCTGAGTTCTAGGACTCGCTTTGGGTTCAGTCCCCACTATTTCCATTATTTATATACTAAACATTTATCGCCGGCAGAAAAATTGCAATATCCCCAGTTCTTCAGTTTTAATAAATCATTCAATACAAAAATTAAGTAATGAAGATAAAGCTGAAATTGAAACTCAACTTATATGATGGGCAAATACAGGTTGACTCACAGGCAGCCAGATACTTTTGCAAAAATTTTTTTAAGACACATTAGACTTTATGTTTGGTAGCAGCATTTTGTCTCCCTTTGATAATCTCGTTTAACTGTATATATGTTTTTTCTCGGGTGTTCTTACTCTTGATTTTTGTTTACCTTATGTTCCAGCATATAAGGCACACGATCACATACCAGACGATGTTTCCAAGCAGTTGTAATGTAACGTTAGAAACATCTAAACTGTAATCCAAAGTCTAACCCTTGGACCCTGACCTCTAGCATATAACTCGCTGGCTGATTTTTCAAGACTTTTTGTGAGAAAAAAGTGTGTGCCTTTTATCCCGGAAAATATGGAAATAAACGCGATATAAACTGTGAAGTAGGAGGCAAAATGATGCTGATTAATGTGGTAGTGCAAATCTATATTTCCACAATGTTTTTCTCTCATAAGAGAAACATTTGTTAAGACATGGTTGGAAAAGGGTCACTTGTTAATGAAATGCTGTTCATATAGAACCTCGGTATTAACCTTGGTAATAAATACCGACAAGTTGGTTTAGAGAGACACGTAAGCAAACACTATGACATATTTATTAAAAAACGTTTCGGTCCAGTTCCAACCATGGAGCAAGCGACAATGGAAACAGGGGAGGAAATAAACACCCCAACCCCCGAAAACCAAGAGGGATGCAACACTGTGGACAACAAGAAGAAGCGCCGTCCATCCAAGGAGAAGGCAAACCAGCTCAACCGACCTGGCAAATTCAAGGTGAAGTCTTACAGGGACCACAGAACCCACTATGGCGTTGTTTCATACCTGGAATCACGACACAACCTGAAGTTCAAGATATGGTTCAACTTGAGAGGAGAACCAATATTGACTCCTCTCAACAAGGAAATGTTTACCACCTTGAAAAGAGTCATGGAGACAGATCGCTCATTCACCCTGGAGGAACTGGACTCTCGGCAGAAAATCACCAAGGGTGTAGTGATGCGATACCCGCTGATGATGCCCATCGAGGCAATAGCAGCTCACCCCAGTGTGGTGTCAGCTCAACGTCTCAAGGCAAAGACGGCAGGCAACGCACCACCCGACAGGTCCTCATTCAGCATGTAGGACCACTGCCATTCCCAGCTGGACCTCGGTTCTTGGGCAGGTACGATGTCAGGACCTTCACAGCAGAACCAGTTCGCTGTTTCAAGTGTCAGCGTTATGAGACCCTGGGTGCACTCTGTCCGAACAGAGTACTCGGTGTCTGCGCCAGCACCACCTACCGAGGAATGCATCACCAAGCTGAAAAATGCATCGCACCACTTCCGCGATGCCGAACTGCAGGCAAACTCTGCCG